CGCGCACGCGCCCTGTGGCAAAATCTTCTGAACCAGACAAGAAAACCGCCTCTCACGAGCTCTGATGTGGTTGCGGAGAAAAGCCACTAAGACTTCCCTCCCCACACCGCGGCTGTCGCTGTGCTGGGCGGGGGGGGGTCACATGCTCTGCCGCACAGCGTCCCCAGTGGGGCAAACGTGGGGGCAAAAGAGCCCAGCTGTCCCCCGCCGAGTCCACGGGGAGAGCTTTGTAAAACCGAGTCCGCACTCTTCCCGCATGGCCTGCCTTTCAGGAAATCTTTGTTATTTTTCACTAAAAATGGGATTTATGTTAACATAGAAGATTATTATTGGGGTTTTTATTTTTTAAAATGTTAGGATGAGAGCCGCAGGTGATGAGGTTGAAGCGCTGGGCTCCCCCACATGACCAGCCGCGGTTCAAATCCCAAACATGGCAGCTTGCTTTCTCACTTTCCTTTCTCTCTCTCTCTGATCAAATTAAATAATGATGATGATGATGATGACCAGTAGATGGCGGAACACACCTCACCGTACTCCCACGAAGTCGACCGCGGTTCAAATCCCAGACCCAGCAGCTTAAAACTCACGCTGGGCGCTTGTGCGTGCGTGCCCAAGACCCCGAGAGGAGAACGGAGGAGAAGGGATTGCGGTGTGGCCATCCCCCTGCGGGGTGCTTTCCCATTTCCTGTCTCTCTCTCTCTGTCTCCTCCATTCTCCTCTCAGGGTCTTGGGCCGAAACTGCAGGGCCCAGAACCCTAGCAACCAGGGAGGGGCCCCGCCCCCCACACAGCTGCTCGGAGCCAGGGGAAGAGACCTTGCGCGCCACAGGCTCCAGGACTCCTGGCCAGCACCAGCCAGAGCCTGAGCTAAAGCCAGGGGCCCCCGCCCCGTGGCCGGAGCCAGCCCTGCACTACCTTCATCCTGTCTTCATTTAATGTTGTGGACATTTTTTCATCATGGATTTCTCATTTTCTTGGCATTAATTTTGATTTTTTAAAAAACTGTTCTCGGGCCGGCTTGCGGCGTGATGGCTAGGGCGGCCGGCTCCCACACCCTGGCTAGGTGGCTCAGTCCCAGACCCGGTTGCTTAAAAATACTCCGGGCGGGAACCAGCAGTTAGCGTAATGGCTATGTCGCTGGACTCCCACGTAGTCGACCGCGGTTCGTGTCCCGGACCCGGTGGCTTAAACTCACACCGGGCGCGTGTGCGTGCGTGCCCAAGATCCCGAGAGGAGAATGGAGGAGAAGGGATTGCGGCGTGACCATCCCCCCTGGGGGGTGATTTCTCGCTTTCTGTCTCTATGTCTCTCTCTGTCTGGCGAGCGCACACGCCCTACAGTGAAAACCTCTCCAAAAAAAAGAAAAAAACACTCCAGGCACATGTGCAGTTGTGCCCGGAACCCCGAGTGGAGAATGGAGAAGGGGTCTCTCACTTTATTGCTCTCTCCAGCGAACACACATGCCCTCTACCAAAACTTTAAAAAGTAAATAAGTTTTGGGACCAGCAGTTGGTAATGGCTACATTGCTGGACTCCCATGTAG